TGATTTTCTTTCTGCTAAATCTATCAGTCACGTGTCGGGGATGCAGCAAAGACTACAACTATGACAGTGGACTTGTACATTTTTCAGGTTGATCTCAAGTCCCTATATTTTGCCTTCCATGGATAGAGTTTGTGTTACATTGATGTCTTCCTCAGAGTGGCTTCCTGTATATCATCTTTCAAGGGAAGGAAGGAAGAAGAAAGGGAAGGAGGGAGGAGGGATTTTTTGAGGGAGGGAAGAAGATACTGAAGGAAAGAGGAGAACAAGAAGAAATATACATGCTTAGCAAGTAAAGGAGCTTGGGTGAGGATGCTTGACCTAAGCCTAACAACCGTGATTTGAATCTCCACAAACCATGTAATGGAAGGTGAAAATCAGCTCCCACAAGTTGTCCTCTGAACTCCACACACACTCCATAGCATGCATACACACACACACACACACACACACACACACACACACACATGTATACATGCATATTAAATTTTAAAGGTGTTAAAAATATAAAGAAGGAATGTACATAGTTTGTTACATTTGTTCCAGATTGCCTCTAGATAAAAATATAACACCACTGAAGAAAGCCAACACTGTAGCTTAGTCAATACTCATAGGGGATCATTTCCTGGCTCTGGGATCTACCATTTCCCAGGGTCAGTATCTAACCCTAGTGGCTAAAGTCTGAAACTCCACTGTTAGCATAGTATTATACTATTTTACATACAGACAAGCAAATTAAGCAGTGAGTCACCAAGGCAATTATCTCAATTGACAACTCCAGCCAGTTCTTAAATGGTACTAAAATATAAGATGGACAAAATTATAATATGTGAGATACGGATTAGATTTGCTTTGAAAGTCAGTGTGTGGATACATGTGTACATTTGTGTGCATACACACATGTAAAATGTTTTAGGAGAAAAAAGCTGACAAGGAACATTGTCAAATCATAATAGATATTCTCTGTGTTCCTATACTATGCTGTAGTCTTTGGTAGTTACTTTTTTCATTGCTGTGATGAAATACCTGGTACCAGCAACTTAAGGAAAGAGGGGTTTATTATGTTGGCTCAGAGTCTAAGATGAGCTAGTCTACCAAAGCACTGAAGGCACTCAGGGAATAGCAGAGACTCCATGATAGCGGGAGCATGAGGCAGCTGCTTGCTCACATCTGAGTGGAACAGGATCAGAGAGGGAAATGTCAGCACTCAGCTACCTTTTGGAAAGTTTGAATTTATCCTGGGCCTTCAACCCAAGCAATGCTGTTACATTAAGGGGAAGTCTCATCCCTCAGCCTACTCTGGAATTGCCTTCACAGATGTGCCTAAAGCTGCATTTCATTAATACTGTAGGGGTTTTTAATCTAAGCAATTTGAAGATCAAAATTAACCATCACATAATCTAAAAGACAAGCATTTCTTATTTTACACATCTGAGAATTCAGACCCCAAGAGCACCTTAGCTAGGTGGCTCTGGTCCATCCTATCTCATGTAAACATGGTAGCAGGTCAGACTACGGTCACCTCAAAACTTGACTGACATTGTTAGATCAACTCACAAAAGGGCACAGTCACATGGTCGTTGGTAAATACCTCATCTGCTTGCTAATTCTTGGCAAAAATAACTTCAGCTCCTCACTAGTTCCTGGTTATCTTCACAGCATGAGGGAGCCCAGAGCCTGAGACAGCAGGAGGAATCTACAGTGCTTCTATGACCCTTTTCTGACGTCGCACTGTAACACTTCCACTGTTTTCTACTCATAGAAGTGATTCATTAAATTCAGTCCACATTCAAAGAAAGAGGAAATGGGCTCTAGGTCCTAAAGGAAGGAGTACAAATTTGTGGATTAATGATCATAACTATGCAGCATTTAGAACTTCTACCTCCCAACAATTTAATAACTATTTTAAAAATATTTCCCTGAGCCAAGCATGATGGCATACACCTAGAATCTGAGCACTCAGGAGTCAGAGGCGGGATAATTGCCTCAATTTCAAGGCCAGCCTGGATTGCATACTGCATTCCAGGTCAGGAAGAACTACATAGTAAGAAATTGTATCAAAAAAAAAATGCTAGATTTTGAAAGAAATCACACAAAGATTAGTAATTAATATCTCCCCAAAAGAAAGCCCCTAGCCCTGCTTGTTTTACTGGTGAATTTAAGAAGCAAACATTTAGGAAAAAAATAATATCAATTATCTATAATATGTTCCATATAATAGGAGAGGAAATACTCTTTATCCATTATTTGACTCTATTTCACCCTAATACGGATTTCATATAAAATAAGAAATAAAAATAAAACAATATGTTCAGTACCTATTCAGGAGAAATGAATGTATGAAACACAAGTAATTGTTAAAGTGGTGAGATCACTCTGTTGGATACTATAATACCAGGCAAATGACACTGTGGATTTGTCAAAACCCATAGAAATAGATAACACCAAGGATGCATCCTAACATGGCTATGCGCTTTACTAATAATAATGTACTACACTAATGCAAGGAGCTGATGTAGATGTGCCATCTGCTCAATTTACAAAATGAAAACTATTACAAAATGAAAACTATTCCAGAAGTAAAGCTTACTAACTTAATATACGATCACTTAATAGATCTCTAAGGGCATTTACTAAAACTTAATATTCATTCACATTTTTAAACTTGGATCACATGAAGAATTCTTTTGTCCCTTTGTATATGTTTCTTTCTATAATGTTTTTAAATGGCCATTGTTGTTCTTTTGTTTGAACTAGAACTGGAAGGTAAAAATGGAAATACGAAAGTAACAGCAATAGAGACTAGAGAGATGGTGCAGCAGTTAAGAGCACTGGCTGCTCTTGCAGAGGACTTGGGTTCAATTTTCAGCACCCACATTGCAGCTAACAACTGTCCATAACTCCAGTTCCAAGAGATCCAACACCTTCTTCTGATCTCTGTGGGCATTTCATGACAAGGGTGTACTTATATACATACAGGCAATATGCTCATACACATAAAATAAAAATAATAAAATATTTTAAA